GAACGCGTGTGTTAGTGGTTCCCATCTCAGTAGACAAAAATTAGATGCAGATGGTATTCGACATGGACTAGAAGCTCTCTGCGATGTTGCAGAGTTTTTTAAAAACAGGTTTATCTTCTCTCATCCACATGCAAAACATAACTGCATGCACTCATGAGATCTTTAGTGATCTCAAATACTCCACTTCTAAAAAAGTACACAGAATCTGTATTTCCTTGCGTTGTACTTGCTCTCTAGCAGTGCTGCAGCAAACATCAGCCACAAGTGTACATGTGATACCCAAATGCCCAATTGCACGTGGAATGACACAGTGGAGGTGACTGCATTGGCTGTAAGTGCTCTGCTCATTCTGCTTAAGACCTCTGAATAATACCTCAGTTACCTGCGGCAAATAGATGGCTCCGTTTCCATGATTTCCCCAGAAATGGGGTGCGGTTCGAGTATCTGCTATTTCTAAACCTTTTATCTGCTGTCCCACAGGGAAGAAATTTGCCCTGTGGTAAAAATCGTGTTTCCTTTTCTATTTCTTTCCAAGTCAGTTACTGTAGGGTGCTATGGGGCCACAAGTCTTTGGTCTCATAGAAACATACAAAGTGCCTTGTAAGGAGCCTAGAATATGGCTGTTGGGAGTAAAAATGATCTAAAGCTAAATGTAAAGGTGTAAGGATTGCATAAAGCCTTTGCTTATGTGGTATTGTTGTAGGGTGCTTTGGGTGGGAATCAGAACCTCCTACAGTGCAGTGGTTGGCATCAGCTGGAAGCAGCGTGTGCCTTGGTTAAGGTCAGTTGCTCTTTATGAGCTGGGGGAAAGGTTCTCCTAAATATTAATCTGCATCTTTAATATCAGGCGACAACTGCATTGGAATTTGATGGCATTGTAGTAATTTCTGTTTCACGGTGGCTTACCTGAAGGATATCTGTTGTCTTAAGCTGTCAGAGACCCTAAAGGTTAGTGTAAAACAGGAAAGAATTCATGTAGGAAACGTTTTCTCACTCAGATCAAGGACTTAGCATTCAGAAATATTTGGAACATGGCCATTTAATTTTCAGCCTTTCTTAAAAGCAGAAAATGCAGGATTTCCAACACTGCATCTCAGAGGACATTTTTGATTGCAGGGTCACAGAGTACTCTTGGTATCAGTTATACCTGACTGTTGGTAACTGCAAAAGGAAGCAAACTGTGCCCATGAGTCACAGTGTTTTAGGGACTAAGCCAGTCGCAGTGTTTTATCACAGTGTTTTAGAGTCTAAGCCTATGAGCTTGAAGGCAGTCACTACAGTTCCACAGAAGAGCATTACTGGGATCCCCGTCAGCGAGACTGAAGTGTTGATCTGAAATGACATCCTGCATTTCTTTATGAATGGAAACGGTTGTTACCTTTAAATATTTTGTTATCTGAGAAAGCATCATTAAGTAGGTACTATTAGACACCAGCACTAGAAGTAATCCTGTACAGATCCAACTCAGTTTATCACTGTGTCCTTGAATCTCCAGCGGGACTTCTAAGTTTCCTTCATAAATCACAGTGGCTTCTGATGTACACCAGGAAATGTGGGAATGGCCATTGAGGATCAGAGTAAAGGTATCTGCAGTCAATATATGTCCATCAAAGCTGATGGTTTTTATTCCTGAGCTGGGGATGCCTTGGAAAAGAGGAAAAGAAAAGGACAAGCATTTGGGCCTGCTTGCCTAGAATGTTCTCACACTCTAGCCAATTTTAGAGCAGGCATTTCCCGACCTGGCTGCCGTTTCTGTGCAGTGAGCCTGGTTACACCTATAACCTACCGGCGTGTGCACAGCTATGTGCAGGACTTGTAAGTTAGCTGTTGTCACTGGGGTCACAGGTCTGATGGTTTTACAGAACCGTGTACAATTCCTTATGGCAGTCACAAAGGCATCTAGAGTTTTAAGAGAGGAATTATGGCAAGGGAAAAAAGATAAAATAGGAGAAATTCATACTGCTTTCAACGTGTCATGTTGAAGTCATTGTCACAGGATGCTGAGCAGGCCAAAATATGATGGGTTTGAAGACAATGCATTGTAAGCACTGTAGATCTGCAGCTGTAGCAGTGCTGAGTTTGCACTTGAACCTTTGCTAAGCGTTAGATCTGACTAAAGGAAACCGGCTTATTCCTTTTCCCATTCCTGAATTGCACTTCTAGATTCCTCCATGCACGGTGTCTTCCTCTAGAAATCCACTGAAACTGTGAAGTCATCTGTGCACTGACGGGCAGTAATCATTATTAAAAATAATTGACTGCAGGGAATATGAAAAATAAATGTTCGCTATGGTTTTCAACAACAGACATCTCGGGCTTATTCTTATAGGGGGCAAAATTCTTGTTTCACTTTTGCACACAGAAACAAAATGCCTGTTTGCTGACCCAGAAGTTTCCATGGCAGTCTGTATAATTTCCAAAGGGTCCATTTCCTGTGAAGTGGCTCAGAATATCTGTTATAAACAAGAATAAATGCAAAGCTTGGAACAAGTCTGCAATATCAAACCAGCACCATGTGTAATTTTCCTGGAATTTGCCCATGTTATGTGATATCAACATTAGAAATGCAATCATTTCCAGAATGCGAAGCAATCCATAAACAAAGGCAAGTAAAGCATGGATAATGCATCTGTCACCTGATACATACCCAGGATGTTTGTGTTAGTTCATATTCAGCACAGACAGAGCAGTGGAGGCCAGCAAACCAGTGACTGTGCTCCCTCTTCTCCTAAGGAAGAGTTAGAAGTATTTTTCAGGGACTTTCCAGTATTTCTTTCCATGACTTCCTCTATGGTTGCAGCATTTATACATTAACGAGAAATAGACTTCTGGTGTTATAGGAACAGTAATCTTGAAACTGGAGGGAGCAATTACAATTTGTGGTTGAAAAGGCTTTCGATGCAAGAGCAGAACTACAGCGAGCAGCCACAGGAGAGGGAGTTCGAGGATAAGGGACATGGCACGAGGTCGCTGCTTCATGAGTTGGGTGTTGCTGCTGTCCCCTTGCCCTAGACTGAAATTGTTGGTGAAAGAAGGAAGTGAGAGTGGTTTGAAAGGAAGCTGAAGAAGGGACCAAGAAAAGAGCAGAGGATGGAAGGGAGATGTAAACACCTTTGCAGCTCATGTCTAGCGGAGGCAATGGGAGACCATCTGCGCTGGGCTGTTCTCCCTTATCCCCACGGTACCATGGTGTGTTTTAGGGGTGTGAGGAGTACATCCCTCAGCATTCCTTTCAGCATCCCAATCTGGCTGCAGGAGTAGCACCACCAGTACTTTCCTTTACCTGTCTTACACTGACCTGCAAGTTTCATCAAGTACCGTAAAGAGTGGGATTTGATGAGTCACAGAGCTCTGTACCTCACCCGTTGTCTTCAGCACTTTGTGAGCTTTGCTCCAATTCTCCCCAGCCTGTGCCTCTCCAAACTGAAAGCCCTTTTTAGTCCCTCCTGTAGGGCATCTGCTCCACCCTTTTCACCACTGCCACTCCCCTTTGCTGTCTCTTTGCCAGCTCAAGTACCTGCTTCTTGAGGCACAGAGATCTGAACTGCACGCAGCGCTCAAAAGGTGAGCACACTGAAGTTGTATGTACAGCAACAAACCTGCAGCCTCTCATTCTCAGTTTCCTTCCTGAAAATGGACAACATTTTCCTGTTGCACTTTGAGCTGATGATTTCCAAGAATTGTTAAGGGTGGATTTTTTATGCTACTCCTTTATGAACTGCACTGGGAGTCCTATGGGAAGATGCCTTACATCAAGCAGCCCCAGTGGAATGAGAGTTGGGGTGGTCAAAGTATGAAGCATCAGAGTTTATCTAGCCACTATATATTTTATCTTTATGTATTTTATCTAGCTTTTCTAGATAAAGGCTATATTATAGCCTTTAAAAGAAGCAGGCATTGTGTACTCCACATTATCCAGTTCAGGGATCAGAATAGGAAGCAGTTGCTACACAAGGGCGAATGCTTGATATTTGGATCCCCAAAGTAAAAGTCACAAATCCCGTCTTGGTGGGCAAATAGGGGCCTTTTGGTGCAGTAAAGATTTATAGCTCTGGGGTGATCTGGACACTGGCGGTGTTTGGACATCTGAGAGTAAAAGTCTCTTGTCTGCAAGGTATTTACATGAGGAGCCTGGCCCTACAGCCCACCGGGCCCCAAGGACTGGGAGCAGCCTGGAGAGGGGAGAGTGAGCGTTGTACCCTTCCCAAAGAGCTTGTTCCTGCGTTCACTAATGTCGGGTTACCATGACAAGGTGAGTTAGGATACATGGACTAAAAAGTTGCATTTCAGCTCCAGAAATCAGGCTGAGGTGGCAAAAATGAAGCAGACCGTTTTCAAGTAGAGCAAATGGAAATGCAGAATAACAAAGAGATAAGAAAAAGGCTTTTTTGTTGAAAAGTTTTAATAATACGTTTTAGGAATAATTACACTTTCACAAGCAAATTCTGTGTATGTAAGCTACAATTTTTTTTCCATTAGCTGAATGAGTAGCTAATTAGAAATACAATCAGTTCCTTGTACAGAGCAATGGGATTGTGAACAATTCTTAAGAAATGAATAGTAGGAATGGAAAATCCAGTAGGAATGAAATAAATTACCACATATTTCTCTCTTGTACATAAACTACTCAATAAATACGTTTATAAATAGCATGGAAATCACAATAAATAAATACAACACACACTGTCGTACAGGTTCTGCTGACTGTTTTCAAGTCAGGTTCCCAGCCTAGCCACAGGCCGACTGGGGCTCAGGAGGCTGCTGTTGACACAACATACGGGTGCACTCCAGGGGAGCAAGAGGAATTATCGGTTTGCTGGCATAGTAGCAAAATGGTGAGGCTCAGTGTCCATAAGCTGTGCTGTAAGTGCATTGCACTCAACGACCTGCGTTTGGCTGCAGTGGCTTTCAAGGGTTCTTCATTTCCTTTACAAACCACTCTTCAGCGTCAATGAGCAGCCTGTCCCACAGACAGCACTGGCCATTCGGAAAGACTTTCTTAAATAGATGCACTTAAATAAATAAATAAATAGATAAATAGGTCGATTCCTCCACAGTTAGCATCATAACACTGATGCAGGAGGTGGAAGGCGGTACACGGCCTGAGTGATGCTTTTCCTGAATGTTTCTCTCAATGGAGAAGTGGGAGCCGTTCCCAGGTTTTTTCTGCCTTGGTGTTTCTTAGAGAGGTGAGTCGGAATTGAGTTGAGCCCTGTTCGGAGGTGAAGGAAGAGGATCATTTAAAAGGAGGTTCAGGAAGGATTATCATTGCTTAGCATTGCACAGACAGCTAAGGACGAGTGGTCTGGTTCCAACTCGATGTGCATTGAGTGCATATCCTGAGGCATGTTTCGAAAGCAAGTACTGAAATCCCAGAGTGTGCACATGTGGTGCCCAGCTAGGAGACATCTGCAGCGTGAGTTTCTGCATTTAATTGCACCAAGAAACTCATTAACTCAGAAATACAAATTATTAACATAAGATGCTGCAGGTAAGGGGAAGATGAATTTATTTAAAGCCCCATTTTTCAGCGGGAGCCAAACTCTTCTGTGTTCCTTTCCCACCTGAGGGACTTGCCAGTGCTTCAAGGTTTAGTGACGAATTGGCTTGAACAAGGACCCTGCGGCAGAGTCGGGAAGACTCAGGCTAATTCTATAATTAAGCGGCAAGTTTCCTTGTTCTTTTAATCTGATTAAACAAAACTGGAAAGTATTACTAAGAAATTCTGCAAATCGGCTTTTTGGGGGGGTTTACCACTCAACTGCTCAAACTGAGAGGGAATGGGACTTACTTGGCCAAAATTGCCTTGACGATCAGCTGTACCCAGGGAGCAGTGGGCTCCAAGCACACCTCTCTGCCGTCCTTCAGAGTAGCTCTGCAAAAGAGGGGAAGAAGAGAAGTCAGAAATTAGTACATGGGTTTGGTTTATTCACAGAATGTAATGTTGCATTTTTGTGTAAATCCATCCCAATCTGCTCTAGGTTACACTTGGCCTTTTTGTTATCTGCCTTCTGACAGCTGGTGAGAGTAAAACTGCCCAGAAATGGTGTGGGTCTGTGTGCCTGCCCTCAAAGCAGTCCCACGATCCCCAAAACCTTCCTTTATCTTTCACTGTACGTGGGTACTTGTTTTGAATGTGTTTACATTAGAAAAGATTTCTTACACAATGACTGAAACCTCCAGTGGCTAAAAGGGGTTTTGGCAGTATAAGGATTTCAACATTTTAGTCCCTCCTCCACGCTTTTCAAGACCAGATTAGTTCCGCTGTTTCCCCAAATCTGCTTGCAGGAACTTAATTTTACCTCTCTGCGACTGACACAGACTCTTTTAATGGGAGTTTTGCCTGCCTAATAAATGCAGGATTTAAACTATGTTACTGCCCCATGTATTAAGAACTGACCAGTCCTTGAAATCCCTGTTCTAGCACCAGTAATGGTAATATTTCCCACCACTTCTTGTGAAGCGTGGGTGCAGAAGAGGGAGGCTCTCGCAGAGCTACTTACATGACTTCAACATTCTTGCAGTGGGGGCCGCTCTGGGTCAGCTTCACGTCCTGGATGGATTTGGGGTGGATGAACTTGGAATGGGTGGCTATGCACTGGCACCGCAGCTCGGTTCCCATCCTTGCCAGGGCCCTACCTGGAAGCAGAAAAGGAAGATTGCAGTTTGAGAGGCAGTCTTGTCATCAGACATAAAGCACAACGGCTCTGTTTTAACAACATTCCCAGATAAAGTACTGTCTCGATTTGTCCAAGCTGCCTAAATCCTCATGGTATCAAGATCACTTGCTTATTTGTTTCAGAGAAGCTGGTGCCCAAGTTCATTTCAAACTAAATTAACACATCTTTTTACAACAGAACCAGATGTTTTGTGGTTACTTGTACTGACCACACTAGCATTGTTTTAATATCTGCATCAACAAACTGGCAGCTATACAGAAGGCAGAGCCCGAGATTTTGTCATTAACTGGAGCCTTGTCCATGCTGCTATGTTCATACTGTTTGCTCTCCGTCCGTATAGGACTTGCAGCAGTATGAGCATTAAGTAACGAATGGGAGACCATAAACTGCCCTCTGTGTGGGAAGGCAGAGAAACTTTCAGACACTTCAGGAGAAGATCCTGTCTGCGGTCACGTACACCTCAAGTGAAACATTGAAGCAAGGCAAATTTAAGTTGCATCCTTAAAATTTTTCCCACAAGATGTCAGTAACTCTTCAGTACAAGGGCTCCTCGGTCGATTTCTGACTGAAGAGAAGTTGCTGAAAATGTCTCAAAAGACACTGATCTGCTGAAGCAAAGGTAAAGTCCCCTCTCTGCATCGCCTCGGTGGATGCCTACACAACGCTGCAGCCGTGGGGCTCTCGGGAGGGGTTTGCTTACCTTGAGACACAGCCACTGAGATCAGGACGAGCGCCAGCACAGCCGCGACTTTGCCGTTCATGGTTGGATGGGAGCGGGAGTTTTTCTCTGGGTTGTTCAGCTCTGGTGCTGAGGAGCAGGGAGCTCTCTTGTCCTGGAGGATCACTGATGCCTGAGCCGGGATCCATCTCACTTTTATACTGTTTTGTGGCAGCACGTGTGCTCTCCCAGCATGGGGATTGCGTTAGAGGAATTTCCCAGCTGCGGTAAAAATGAGTCACATGACTCTTGTGAAACTCCATCCTCGATGACGAGGAATTATTCTGCTGAGGCTGCTCTAATGTATTCAGTTATTCAAATATGTAAATAATGCCCATGCATTCCCAGTGCTTTTGTCAATTTAGTGCTCTTGTACTGCATACCCTTCTTTGATAATACAACTTTACGATGGTTTCAATTACGTTTATGTTATCTCTTTTTATTATTCTCTTCAGGATAATAAGTGCTCTTTGTGGGGCTGCCAGATCTACACTTGAGCTATTTAATTTCTTATCTCCGTTTATGGTGATAGCTTCTACTGACCTGACTTTAAGCAGCTGAAGTGGAAATTGTGCAGTGCTGAAATGACAGAAGAGCTTTGTCTCTGGAGTCAGGTTTCCACTTCAGCATTATTTTGGGGTTAATGGTTTTAATTTTGTTGTTCTTTTCTTTTTTTCTGTTGAAGTGATGTCTTACAAAGTAAGTTCAACTCTAATGTGATCTGTTAAGTTGAGGAATTGATGCTGCAGCATTCAAAGTGTCTGTGGGAAGCGGACAGTGAATCCTGAAAGGATTTCAAAATGATGCCTGCACTTTTCATGGCACAGATGTTAATGCATGATCAGAAGAGGACGCTTTGTCTGCAAACAAATAGCATGACCTGTTGAATCCAGCTGCTTTTGTTTTCTTTGTAAGCGCTAGATATTTTTAATGTCTTTCCTGCATATTCTTCAGTGACTGCAACCCTAGGTTTTAACAAGGGTAACACCACTAAGAATTATGGCAGTGCCAGAAACATTACTGGTCATTGCATGAATGCTGAGGGTTTATTTGCTGCGCTGGCAGAGAGATGACCTTGATGGGAGACAGCTTCAAGGGCAGACTTGGGCTCAAATGCTGATCTGTTGCTAAAAGGAACATTTGTGTGTGATAAAGAGAAGCCACTCTGTTTTGGTGCCGTAAAAAGGCCGTCCTTCTGACCATGATGGCTTTTGCTGCTTGTCGTCTCTGACCTTATAGCTTCATGATTCTGTCTTCCGTGGATTTATAGTACTTCTCCCCAAGTCTGAGGAGTTCCTAAAAACTCAGTTATCTTTAGCATATAAAGCATTATAATTTATTTATACTAATAATTTAATAGTTTGTTCATAATTTATTAGGATTTACTGTCTACCATTTGCCATTAATTTACTTGATGCAAGGAACTTTGTGATGAAAATTCATCTGGTTCTCATCACAGTGTCAGCTGCCCCAAAAAAAGATATCACCAGGTTTGTCTTCCCTGCTTCTTACTGAGTACTGAGTCAACAAAACCTCCTGGTTCTGACTCCTAACGGTGCTTCTCCTCAGCTGTACGTCCTAGAGAGCTTCACTGAAAAATACATGCACTTCTCTGAGAGGATTTTACCAGCTACTGAAAGTTCTGTTTTCTTGTTTGTGCTGTATGACATTGGCTATGTTATGTTAAATGAACAGGGTGGTTTCACTCGTGTCAAATTCTAGATGTTGAAGCTTTAACCAGTTTACTTTGAACAAGGTTTGGCTGCTGCTTTTCTTTTGGGCTCTCTCACTTTCTCTCCATGTCTCCACGTACGGATGCACACACACAGGGTAATTAAAATTTTATCAGGAATCCCACTCTTCTGAGTTACTATTTGCAGTGTTATGATCTAATTTTGGTGTTTGCTGAACTGTCATTAATGCCTGGGGTAAAAAAAAGAAAATTCCCCCTCAAATCCCCGAGTAAAAGCACTGACTGCCCATCCTCCCCACTAGACTCAGCTGTTTCCTGCGGCAGGAACGGATCTGTAGAAATCCCCGGGCTAAAAGTGAAGTCAAGAGCCTGCTCCACCTATGTGATTAACCCTGAGCTAAGGGTGTCTGCCGAAAAGGCCAGGATATTTGTAATCAAATAAAAATCCACTATGTTTTCTGAGAGCTGGAGCATCTCCTCTACCTCCGCTTTTTCCATGATACGATAGTTTCATCAGGACTGAGCCAAGGGCGTGTAATGGAGGTGGGAGCAGCATGAAAGGGTTGAGAGGTGAGCCCAAGCCCTAGGGCCAGGACTCCTAAGCCCTGTTCTGGGAGTGCCGTGCTTCGCCCAAGGTCTCCATACATCCCTTCAGCGCTTTGCCTGCGATCCCAGCCCCTGCCTATGGGAACTCCAAATCCCGTATCTGATTTTGGCAGTGTGTTTGCCCCGCCAGCCACCACCTGTGCAATTGCTGCTCCTTTTGAAGGTGAATGCCGCTGACTGAGCTGATACCGCCGCAAGCACAGACCTTCCATGTCTAACCCTGCTAAAAGCGTGCTTGTAACGAACAAAACAACAGTTATGCAATGGTCTGATTACTGACACGCTGCTGGAAAGGGAAGTCAATATCTCCCTCGCCTGCGCTTCAAGGCAGGGTATAGGATGTGTTCGCTGTGCTGCAGGACGGAAACCAGTGGTTTTGCTTTTTCGTGACTCATCGCCTGGTCTAATGAACACAGAAGTCAAAAGGGAATCTTTTGGGAACTTGACTGGGATGGCTTAGAGTCTTTGCACATAGCAAGGGACATACAAGGGACACAGAGAGGGGGATTTATGTGTCCTCTGGTGACCAAGACCATCATGAGGCATGGGGGAGAGCTGGGCTCCTGTCCCTGGTTTGGGTCACCCGACTTCCAGGAGAATGCGCCAACCTCTGGGCTGGTAAAGTTACGCTCTCTAAGAAAATTGAAAGTCTGTCTTTTTTAGTCAAATCGGGACCTCTCACTTGAGAAGTTTGTGCACACAAGACCCCAAAGGCCCATGAGACAAAGCATTCGCTGGGATGCGGGTCACTCTTGTCAGCTCCTGCCTCCTGTGTGTCCTACTCTGTTTCCCAGGGAAAATCCCACTCTGTTTTCTGGAGCCTCCTCCATTCCCCCACACAGGGCTTGTCTTTCCCCTGCCGTTCCACTTGACCCGGCGAGAGTGGAAGGGGAAAATGCAGGGGTTGGGAAACAGTCGCTGCTGGTGCTCAAGAACTGGGCACGACGCTGTGCAAACACTCGTGGAAGTCTGCAGCAAGGCGGAGCATAGGGAGCAGAGAAGTGAAAGAAAGCAGAATGCTTCCTAAACATCTGGGTGCTGACTTGCTACATGAGGAAGTGTTGGCAAAGAAAGAAAAAAAGCTTAGGTCAGTTTGTGATTTAGTCTTTTCTCAGACGTAAGTGTCTAAATATAGATGGTTATGTGCCCTTAGTCAGATCATGGCAAGAGCTGGACTTTCCTGAATCCCTCTGGAAACACAGAGTAGCAGTGCAGCTTTTTAGTTGATTTGCCTTTTAATTTGTATGTTTGTAAATACAAGAGTATAAGTATATATTTATGTAGCTGCATATGTATTTATGATAAGTATTTCAGCTCTGCTTGAAAACAGGGAATTCTTTATTGTATTCTTCAGTTAGAAAATGTTGTGGATTAAATGAAATGGTACAAACCATATCAGAAAATCATAGAATATCAGGTTGGAAGGGACCACAAGGATCATCCAGTCCAACCTCTCAAGGTAAAAGTATTGTTTAAATGAGATGAGGCAGCACCCTGTCCAGCAGACTTCAAACTGACCAGTGTAGGGGAATTCACCACTTCCCCTGGAGATTGTTCAATGTCTGATGGATCTCATGGGAAAAACAATTCTTCTGGAGTTCAGCAAGAACCAGAAAATGGTACATTAATATTCATTAGAATATGAACATAAAGTATTAGCAAAGATTCACAAGTACTCATATTAAAAATAAACTTGGTCTACCTGGTGTGAACAGAGGAGATACTAAGTCCAGCTAGAGGATTGCTGGGGACCAGCAGCTGGGGTTTAAGGGCTCTATGGGGGCTTCATTCGTTGCTTTGGTTCCAGTTCCCTTTCCTGAGCAAACTGTGGCAGTAAGATATGGAAGTGACAGGAGGAAACACATGGTAAGTTTGAAGAAGTTTGTGCAGAGAACCTCTGATTAAATGAGAAATGGTCAGCAGCCATAACACAGGTCAAGCATTCATCTCTGACTTTTCAAAGGTCACTTGCTGTTGGCTCGCTGCCTGCTCACGCTGCAGCCGATGCAGCTGTGTGGGTGTTAGCCCCAGCACTTCCAGCAGCGCAGTCACCGCAGGCTGGGCACAGAGAGGGAGAGTTTCTCTGCAGGTAGCCTGCCTGAAAAACAGTGCAACAACCTAGACCTCTGAATCTTGAGTAAAAATAAGACTGTTTAGTATGGTGAATGAGATCTGCTTTGCATAAAAGCTGTTTTATGTAAACTTGCTCAGCCACAGCATCTCAAGCCAATGCACAGGGCAAATATAACTGCTAGAATCCGCACTTTTGCACTTTTTATCCTCAGAAACTAGAATTACATTGCAAGACTTAAATGAGGTGTAGCAAATCATTAAGAGAAAACATCTTTAACACCTTTTTGACTGTAGAAATAAATTAACTATAAATTCAACTGAATTATCACATTAAACCAATGTCTGGTCTTATAAACAGTTTCCTGGACCCTTGAGAGGTAACATTTAACATCATAAATAATGTAAGTTGCAAAATCCTTTTTTAAAGCAAAAAAATGTGGTCTATTATGGTACCAGGTAAAACCAATGTGAGACAAAAAAATTGCCCGTTCTATTAAAATAAATAATCTGTTGTGCAGCAATATGACTTCTAAACTTCTTTTTCTATGTATGTGTGTCTCTCTGCCTGCCTCTTCCTGCCTATAAGGGCAAACTAGAGCACGATCAATATCCCTCCAGCAGTAAGACAGGTCATTTAGTATCTCTAATTTTAGCTGCTTCCTCCTACAAGC